TTTCGTTTTCTAACTCGTCGACTGCAAGTACATTTAGTTCACTGTGTCTATAATCCTTACGGATTTCCTGAACACCACTCGGGCTATCACGTGAACTTATTGTGTAAGCTTCCTCAAATGTTTCGCAACTAAATTTCTATAGACATCGTAGTTCAAAGCAAAGACACGTCTTACTATACCGCAAATTGAAGAACAAAACAAAGATTCTTCAAGCTGAACGTTAATGAAACGACGACCAAGGATGTCGGCTAATTCAGATTCGATTTTTTCAGCCTTGTAAAATATATTGGGCGTGAAATCACTCGCGTCCTGTGCGGAACAAACTGGAGTATCATTGCGGCGCCATCTGAGCCTCTCTACTTCGGGCGTCTTATAACATCTAATGCCCTTCTAGTATCTTTGTCGCGTATAACGTAAAGAGGTGACCTTTGTAAAGAGGCAGCTTTGCACTGACTTTGGAAATTTATGGAAGAGTAGACTTGTGGCATCTAGGTAATATCCAGTGGCAGGCGAAATTGTCACACTAGTTATGACATGTATACGTATCATTCTTTATGGACATTTGAGTTTGATTTCATTAATTAAAATTGAACCTGATCAATTACAAAACTTATTTATACAAAACAAGAAAGACTACTTTCCGATAGCCTTTCATTATATTTCATAAATTAGGTTATTATATCCTTTAACTTCTTTAAAGCTTGCGAGCCTTGAATTTTCTGAAGTTACTGTAATTGCCTTTGTCTCTGACCAATTGAAGCCATCGAGTGAAACGTGTTTCCCTCTTTTCCAACGGTTTTCGCCTTTGCCGAAGGTAACTGTTTTGGCTACTTCCAGCTGTGGCCAACGTTGAAATAGGTCTCCATAATGGATGACGCATGGTTATGAAATGTTCGGTGTGTCCGTAAGCTTTTCGCTTGAGTTATTCATGCCTTTTTTTTTTTTAATTTACCGTTATTTACTAGAGACGACACCGAAACGTTACGCCTTTCTTGATGCCATATATTACACAATAAAGGAATGCCACAATAATTATTACGTTATTTTAATTAGTGTACAGATAAATCGACGAAATCAATAGCGTTGTCCACTTTTGCAGCAGGACTTTGGCATAATTTTGTTATTCAGCGAAGACAGTTCATACACTAGCCCCCTATTGAATTTAAATCTCGTAGGATGAGTTCTGCGGTGCGTCAGTGTGAAGCTAATCGAGGGGCAGTGCCTATTAGCTTGTGACCATATTCCAAGTTATTCGTGCTCTATTTGTAGTACCTATGATAGATCTCGAGTCATGCTGCTTGTCCTTGTAAAATATATTCTGAAAGCTAATTTCTTTTTTAATCCGAAATATAAATGGCTGCTTACCGAGTTGCTTTATATAGCTCTCTCAACAAACTCTCAGTTCAATAATGTGGGCACGATCGTTTTAAGCAGACCAAAAGGACAAGGAAGTCTACTTTGTCTTGGAAGCGAATTCGTAAATACGCTCTGTCTAAAAAATTTCCAACACACGTTTGAAAACGAGATAATACTCTATGCGTATTAATAAGCCCACAGTGATGTGTGCGAGTGTAAGTAAATTTTTACTTTTATGCTATTCAACGACGTCCGAGGATCAGTACTAAGTTAAATATGTTTATTAAACACATTCTGATTGTCATAGCAGTATTTCGAAATATTTTATTCCAACTAGAACGGTTTTGCGCACGTATATTGTTCCTAACGTACACGTCCCTCACAGCTGATGCGCAAGGAAATAGTTCGTTGACGCAGAGCGAAACATGCAAATAAGTGAACCTACAGAACCTAACTCTCCTTGTGATACGCAATTACGTAATGGAAGAATCTCTAAAAGTCATATGAAGTAATGTTATCTATGGTTAGTGTAATATGTGGCTCAGATGAACTTTACGAAGTAAGTAAGTAAGTAAGTAAGTAAGTAATAATAGAAAATTATGGGTCTTCATGTGAACGCATGGTTTTAGCCTGGCCATCAGGAGTGGCCACACTGATCAGGCGTCTATAGACCTCAATTGTGGTACTTATGTCTCATGCAGGTTTTGGCAATGATTTTCGACATAAATAGGGATGTCATCATCACTCGCGCTCTGCACACTGGCTTATATATATATATATATATATATATATCCGTTCATACTTTAGAGTTTCCTGAATTATTAACCCTTTTTGAGTCTCGTACTCTGAAGAATGTAAGCCAACATCTTTCACTTTGTTTTTTTTGCCGTAGGTCCATTTAGATACTATTATAGAGAAGCATAAGGGATTGAACTGCATCTAAAAAGGACAATAATATAATACGCAATGCGTACGAAACAACGGTCCCTCCTTCAGTGTGTTACAAAAAGGGTAATGGCGAATAGACTATCTAGTATAAACGATAACCACGCTTAACATAAGCGAGCGGAACTTATCAAAATTAATCTAACAGAATTATTCACCTGAAATACAGGTCACTGTTATTAAATTAACTACCTAAAGTACGAGTATCTGACTCGTGAGGATTAATAACATCGTTTATTTAATAACGAACAAGCCATAATATCTGAAGGAAAAACACGTAAACATAGTAAATGGCAGCTTGAACTATTAATTAAGATACAGTAACTGAAAACGTAATAAAGCAGGTGGCGAAGTTACTAATTACAGATGACTCAATATTCAGAGTGTGCTAATATGCATATAACATACTGTGACATTACGTAAACGATTGCAAAAGTGAATGAATCTATAAAAAAAAAAATGTAACGATTAAACCCCATACGCTCGTTGGTAGATAATGGTCTATAAATCAACAAAATATATTTTTTCATCAATATATCTAAAGTTCTTTGCGTTTCCCATGTTCCACAATCTCTCTAGCTAGTAAAGCCTACAATACATACAAGTAAAAATAGGTAAAAATATAAAAATAAAATTAAAAAGATGAGTAAAATTTTAATAGTCTTAGAGAATAAATATGGGAAGCTTAAAGCGCTTTAAATTTTAATGGAGAATATATGTATTTATATATGGGGTTGTCGGGAAATTATTGGCCATTTTAAGCCAAAAAATATTTCTGTGTTTGAAGTAGTATCGCAAAATTGACTGTCTGCAATTTTGGTCTAATTTTCTGACATTTCTCCGATAATATCGTTATATAACTTATTTAATTATTGATAGAAAAACTGTCACAGTTGCATCTCTCTATTGAAACTAAATTAAAGCCATTAAGGGAGTTTTGCAGAGATCGAAATAGATCATGGGTCGATTGTACAAGATTTGGGCTATACGACGGATGCATTCAAATCTACCGTCCAAGTTTTTTTAAAATTTCGCTATGTAGCGCATGTGTATGTGGCTTTTATTGTCACAATGGAAAACGTTCCAGTTTTTCATAATGGCTACTTATAGTGTTGTTAATTCGGCAGAGGCCTGAACTAACCGTTCTTTCAGGCTGGTAGCACGTTAAAATGCACGCTTCCTTTCCAGTCCTAGTAAATACGTAACATCACATTCTTTGGCATCAGTCTGGGTTTTGTCATTAATTTTGGACCACATTTTTTATTCTTTCTTTTTTTCTTTTTTATTTACCCATATGCGATCCACTTTTTATCACACGTTACTTATCGTTGAATGGATAGCTTAATTTCATTGTATTTTTGCGGAGTTCCACAGATGCAAATATAAATATATTCTTTTATATCAATTTCGAATCTTTTTTGTAGCTAGCTTCCTTCAAATGGTTTAGAACAATTTAGTAATGGATGTATAGTTCCCTATCTTTCCCTGCGATAAGCACGAGAAGCCTTTTTTACATATAGATTTTGAAGAACGAAAATCACAGAACCATCTTTAAACTGTGTTTTCCGATAAGATAAACAGCACAAGTCCTTTTATGTGCCTGTATGGCACTTGTGCCTTCATTGTAATAAAAACGTCAAATATACAGATAGAAATTTTTAACAAAATAGCCTCTCTGAGATCTGAATTACTAAAATTGTTATTTATTAAATCTCACTGACATCAACTTTTTGCTGACGCGACTCCCGTTACCTCAAATATATGACTCTGAAGTCATCTTAGCCAGAAATACTGTCAATATCCTTTCAACAACCTAATATATATATATTTTTCTAGCAAGAGAACCTTTATTCAAAATATTAATACTTTACTTTTAGATATTGCGAAATTTTGCGAGTAGTCAAAAATTTAGAGCAGTCCGTATCACTAATTCTTTTTTTAGACCAAACGTCAAAAGATCAGATTGTGTGAAAGATTTGAATATTTTTTAGCATCTCATCAAACTTTTGCTCCAAAATAACAATTTGTCTTTTTTTGTTTTTTTTTTTTACGGTTTCACCTGTCTCAGAATTTTATGCTTAAAAGCAAGCTTCAACGAAGTTACGCTATATAAAGATAACCATATTTAATTATCGTCCTGGGAGCTCTGTGGGTCAAATAGGCTGGGAATAGATGGACCACTACATTTAGAGTATATATAATACCAGCGCTGTGGTTGTTAACTTCATAGAAACTAATTTAATTTAATTAATTTTATCAACTCAACTTGGCAAAAATGCATATATATGTTAAATTAAACTAAACTAAAGTATAGTAGTTTGACACTTGTTGTATCTCATGTCGTCATGTTCAGCGATGTCTCGAATAAAATTGTGACGACATTTGAAGTCATTATAATATTCGTTGTCCTTCGGACAAAGCGATATGGCTGATATATCTACCATATAACCATGATCATATATCAGAATTTACCATGAATAACTGTTCAGACCAGAATCATTTGAGCAGTGGATAATTATAAAACATTAAATAAATATAAAAAAAAGAAAAGTAAAATCTTCCTAGAAATAATTACTGTCCTTTCTAGGAAAAAAAAAAAAACAAAAAAACCATCTATTCACTGATGTTGCGTAATGACTGATTTTTCCGGACAAAATAATCCGTGGTACATATAACGTTACCTTTAAATAACACAGCACCGCCTTTTGATATTATACAATCCAAAATATATGTTTTCAAAAGGTATAGACATATAAGCAGGTGTATTATTTTTCGTGCGAGTTCTATGTTCATGACAAGAATAGCTTCCTGAAAATTCTCCTTAATTGTTTGTCTATTGAAAACACTATAATTTATACCTTCATCCTCGACAAATATATATTTATATCTCTCGTGTGACGACGTTTCAGGCGTATGCAGTACGCGCGTGGGCTCTTCTCTAAAATCGTATTTCCCGAAAAGCTTAAAGCCGCTTGCCACGATACGAACACGTGGGCTCGATTCGGTGTTCTTCACTCCGCTATACATGTGCTACTCAGACACACAGCGTCATTATACAATGATAACGAAAGCAGACTACAATGTGCGTCATACCTAGAATAAGATCTGTAGAGTAGCGGAGCACAAACGAAGTCAGGTAAGGTCAACTTGAAATCTGTGCTTTCTTAAGCAACATAGAAATTTTGGAAAACGATACTTAGGAATACAAAAAATACTTTTCTGGTATCTAGGGTGATGCATAAAGCTCGACGGAGAAAAGTTTCTCCTACTAAAGATGAAGGTACAATCAGCACATTGCGAGTTTGTAGCAACGTTGTGGAGTCGAGGAAATCATACGCAGCCTGGTGGAGACCGACTGGGTGGCGAGCTCAGCGTCTGGCGGTGACAAACCGAAAGTGGGTTGAAAACAAAGCGTCGAGTAGCTGAAGAACAATAGCCTAGGGACAAAGCAGTACGAATGGTCAAAAGAGCTTCAGGGGGACCGCGCTGGTATGGTATGACCTTTAAGTAATGAAGACAGAAACCTCGTGGCAGGGATTCAATAACAACCGGATTATTTTACGGAGGAAGAGTTTAGATCTCTTGGAAAGCTTCACAACCTCATTAAAGCCTCGGAGGAAACATTTATTGCGGAAATTGCTTGAGGTGCTAAAGCTAGACAGTACTTTTAGCCAACGTAACGGGCTGTGGTTCGCTTACTTAATAAAAATGCGGCTGAATTCGTACACGAGGTTCGTTCAGCCCTGGACTACTTGTCGAAAAGCGCTACCCGCCACACAAAGGTTCGATAGCTTGGGAAGATGCCGCGAGCCTCGAGATTATTTATTTTATTATAAGTAGCGGCGAGGTAGTAATGTATCAATTGCAGTAATGTATCAATTGCAAACCGAGACCTTTCGACAGAAAGCCGCTCTTGCTGTACCAATAACATCAGGTAAGCTAGGGGGTTCACATCTACTACTGGCTAATAAGGGTGTTCAGGCAATTTTGATCACCGGTGTACGTTGTTGACCGGTGCACGTTTTTAAAGGGCATGCTTTGTTAAGGAACGCAGGAGCCGTGGACGGTGCTGCAACGATAAGTCAAACCGTTGTTCCCAAAGGTCATTTAAACATTTTCGGGTTATATGCAAATTAAAGGTGCGATATTGTACGGAGAGGAAAATCTGGCCTAGAGCTCGAGAGCATATAGCCAATTGCGACATGGCGTACCCTTAAAGTCCGTGCGACAACGAAGGAAGGTCCCTTCGAAGTCCCGTGGAACCAATCACTACAAGGTAAGCCGAGATTCGGTGCACTGCTCGTGCCCGAACCAAAATTTGCAAATATGCCATCTGGGTTGTAGTACGGCGATGTGCCTAAAGAAACCTATCGCCGACAATTTAGGCTGTTAATGGAATTTACCCCCTAATGTAGTCAGTTAGACAGCGTCGCTTACAACAGCTTCAAAACGGGCTCCTGAGCTGATACAGTGGTTTAATATGGCAAAAGCGTAGTGCGTCAAAAAACCGTGACCGCGAGATGGCGGCATCCCGCTCGGTATCGTTTTTGGTCCAGCGTAGGTTTAAGCTTTCCGATCAACACGAGGTGTTACAGTTCTCAGAACATCGGTTCTAGGCTTTACACGAACGGTACCTGACCCCGCTCGAAGTAGACATGTTATCGCGATTTGAAAACGGGCGCAACAATTTTTTTAAGTTACTCTTACTAGTGAAATCCGTGAGAAAAACCTAAGTCGTATTTTGCTAAATGCCTAGTTACCCTGGGAGGATGCTATAAGCTTACAATGCTGTTCTCAACTTGCGCTGCAATAATAATAATGTAATTGTTTCAATGTCACTTGCTTTAGATCGTGATCCCAAACCCGAAGGTGCACGTGGACCTGTCGTTTCCGCTTTCATTAACAGGCGGTGTTCTTCAGGTAAACATTAGGTATTTAATGTCTTCATCTGTAGAAGCTGTAGTCTTACATGCTGATCCATTGAAAAGGCCCAATTATGCTTTTTATGCTACAAATTGCTTTTGCGAGCACTATATATATATTTAACGTATCTAGTGTATGTAATTTTCATTGTATACAAATATAATATAGGTCTATTTTAATGGCCTGTAGGTATTAATGGGCACGCACTATGACCTAAGGCAGATAATGCGCTTTGTCTTTGGAATTTGGGCCAGAATCAGTTATCCCATACCTTTGCACGAGACGAAGGCCCATCAAACTGAAAACTGTTGTCAGAAATTGCCGAATTTTGTGCGGCCTCAAAAGTGATTTGATCAAGCTTTCGATAGAAAGCAATCGATGAGTGATTAGTTTTACCCATACAAACCATAATGATGACTTCATTTTTACGCTTAACTTAACGCTTAAATCAATAATGATTTCCAATACATCTTTTACTAGCGCACAATTGGTATGGAAAAAATACCTGTGGACTAATGAAGGACTTTTTTAAAAGCATTAGTTGAAAAACTGAACTGAAGATCAAAGGGAGTGGAAAGTAGCAGTTTTAATTTGGGCCTAGGCTACAATTAGGCAGGTGGTGATTAGATTGTTCAAAAATAACCCCCAAACAGGATACCCGACTCTAGCGCATGAACATGCCTTTTAGATAGCCCACATTAATGTATATCAGATTGTATAGTTAACATTTCCGTAAGACGTATCACTCAACGTTATATCTGAATTTCGATGACTCACAGAAACAAGTTAGGGACTCATGTACAATAGCACAGAATATGGAAAACGTTACCTACATAAAAATCTCTTATTACTAGTTTTAATCCCAGCGTATAAATGAGCGCGCGTAGTTTAGACAAATACTAAATATCTGTAGAATCGGGAGGAGAATAGTCATATCTCGAAAGAAACAATCAAAAAAACAAAAAAAAAAACAACAAAAAAACAAAAAATTGTGAAAAACAACAGCAAATATTGTAGGAATCTTGACTAGCGTGGATCACCACATCCTATTTATGAATATAATGTTATATGTTCGTTCTCTCGACATTTAGCGAAAGAATAGTCATACAAAAAGCGTTTGTGTGGGCATGTTAACGAAAATATATGCACACAAATTCTTCTGAATTCATACTTAAGTCGAAGAATACGTACCTGACTTAACCGGTAAACCTTTGAAAGTCTACCTCGACAACATGGAGACGATCATCAAAGCGCACTCGTAAATATATATAAGAAAATCAACCTTCTGATCAAGTTGAACTATCGGAATGGCATCGGTCTTCGGGGGAATGCTCAAAAACATGTCGTGTTCAATGAGCCATGATGTAAAGTAGAATAGCAATGTTAGCTTGAAACAAATAATAAATTAAGCATTAATGTTTGTTTCAAGAGATTGATTACCCACTTAACCCATACGGGTTCAATACATACATTGAGAGAGATGTAGCAATCACATTTCTGTGAATGATGATCCTCATTTACCCCTTAATTAACTGCTTTCTTTGTATCCATTACAGAATGACTTCAGTGACTGGGATCGCTCGCTGGCCAATCAACAAACCGAAAATTAAATTTTCGCCGAAGGTAAGGAGAAAACAGCAACTTTCAGGCCTATAACGAGTACAGAATCCAGGACGCTGCAATTTCTCCTGCAAGTAAAAACGTTAGGTTTGTTAGAAGTGATTCAAATTACGTGACATAATGTGTTTTACCTTTCAGATAGATACGATTGGAGTCACTTCACATTCGGGGGCCATTTTTGATATACTAAATGGAGCCTATCTTCTAACAATCGGTCTAAAGATAGTTCTCTCAATTTTGGAAGCGATTTATCCGTTTGTCGTTGATACCCTGCTAGGCAATCTGCTCAAAAAAGCTCTTCAACAATGGATCGATGTATATCATGAGCAACTGCCCTTTTAATCTCCGTCGTTTCTACTTCGACGTCCGACGTATTTTTGCGCCTAAACTGCAAAACGATGATATCGAAGCGACAACTCACAAATCACTAAATGCTTCAAGCTCCAATAGATAATTAGCTTACATTTGTAAGTCTCTGCTTAATAAAAAGGTTTAACCTATAAACCTAAAATATATTTTGTTTGCTAAAAACACGGGATTTCGTTCATGACCATGATTCAACATTTGGTATGCGTCAAATACTGGGTTATGCCATATATACTAGTAGTAACATGTTACAGCAGTAAAATTGTTCTAGGATGCCATGCACCATCCTTAACCATACACTCTACAGGATAGATGAAGCAAGAAAATATTTACGCAAAAAATAATACACATATAAATAAATACAAAAATAAAAGTCCATTGAACGCTTCTTGCGATAAATCACCGTATATATACACATCATACGTATATCTATCCAGCACGATCAGAAATGGCAGTTTTTCTGTGTAGTAGTGAATGTAAGAGGGCATGTACCCTTAAAACTAGCAATCTATGACAGCACAACTTGTCGTACTATACGTACCACTCAATTTCTCTCGTCATAGTCACCTTGGCCGATTTTTGATAAGGCCAAGGTAGCATTATAACCTAATTACAAGCGATAGGTGATCGTGATGGGAAGGTAGTTCTGCTAAGGTTTGCTTGTTGCTTATGATGTTCATCAGATGAACATGCCTTACGGCCAAAATGGTGTCAGCAATTTTACTCAGGAATCTACTCAGGATCTCCTAACTCCCAGAGCGCGATAGATAACTAACGCTGTTATATGGCCCATCCTCAAGTCAGCACAGCATTAGAGGTACATTTTTTGATAAGCATTGGGCAACGTCAAAAGGTAGTCTTATTCGGTTGTTCAGCCGATGAATGCCGCTACTGACACGGATGATAAAGAAAGTAGAGCTAAGTAAAAAGGACATCATAATAACCTCGCAAAAAGCTCGTTTAATATGCCCTTTTTCAGATCAATTGATTTGAGTTCGACGTAAAAAAGACGATCACGTTTTTTTCCGATCTTCAAAAGTCACACATCAGTACTCATGCGAAAACAAGTAATCGTGATAAAAGTGAGACTATAGTACGGTACGCTGTATGCTCGCTGATTTACAGGGTTCACTTTCAGCAGAAACAAGCAGTTTTATTTTATAAATTTTTTTTATGTTTATATAAATATAGTTATAAGACAATTGCGGTCATAAAGTTCTTGAAAACAATGCGATACATGTCGCATCAGCGTCTAGCAGCACGCATCATGCTTGCCACAGGAAATGGCGTAAGCTTATGTCTTTATTACGCTTTATTCCTACCTGTAGCCATAGCCATGTTTGTCATAGCCATAGAAATATTAATTGCCACTTACATTAGTAAGACGCTCATCCGACTAGTCTACCCTGAATATGTATACATGTCTTGATAGCTGAACCTCTTAAAAATATTTAGTAAAGCTATGAAGTCTATACGACATTCGAAGTACAACCGACGACTTCACAGGCCAGCAAGAGCGTCGAAGCCTCAATTAAGCGATAAATTAAGCTTTCCATTGTCATGATTTCGAATAGAAATAGGGAAAATGTGCTGTACCTTATTTTATATCAGTGCCAAAAGTTGCCACATTGAAAAAGTGCTTTCTATACTGTCGATTACATAGAGGACAAGGGCATGCACGACGCTCTGCGCAGGGTTGCCATTTCGAAGATATTTAATAAAAAAAAGCTCCCCGTCCTATTTATTTTCATCATGCATATTTGTTTCAAACGCTGACCGAATGGGTTTTCGTCTTATTACTGTCTCCTCATTCGAATTTTCATTAAAAGAAAAAAAAGTAAGACTGATGATCTTTACTCCTGAGCAATGGCTCGAGAGACATCGAATAGAGAAGAAAAAACATTCATTGTTAAACAAATTTACATACGTAATAAGAGCGTCCTTGTAATCTGCAACAGATCTTCCTTGTTGATGATGTCGACTGATTTAGTATCTATGCTTAGCTACAGATGTATAGGAACCCTTCACCCATGGGACCAGCCTATGGGGCAGTATATCAACCGGGTACTACAATTGCGCATGCGTAATCATGTTGTCTTGGTTTTTTCTTTGTATCGTTACCGTTTATTGCATCATGATAGTTGATGAAGAACTATGGATCATTGCTCTCTTTCTGCTATGCTTGACTGACATGTAGCGGGTCAAGTGAATTGCTCCTTCATAAGAGATTGAAACCGATTAGGCGCTGGTTCGGCTGGTAACTGATAGAATGACGGTGACTATTGGCTTATATTACGGACGATACTTAACTTCGACAAATATCACAGTTTATACCATGCAACAGAGCGGCGAAAGCTATATATGTACAATGGAAGTTGAGCAAACCAGTGGCTCCTCTAAATCAAAACTATCCATGAACAAGCTATTAATGATCCTCGCTAAAGCAGTATGATCTATAATATACCTTAATCCAACGACCTAGTAATTCTTTAAACGCTATTTCGTAGATTCTTGTTTCTGGTAGTATTCGCCGTCCAACGACCCAGTATTGACCAAGCTAAAGGTGCTAAAAAGGCCAAGTAACTACGTCTCCTTTTTTTGCTCAACGTGGTAAACGTACCGGAGCAGCCGCTACATAAAAGCAAATAACAATCTTCGTCATTATGGGCCCTTAAGTTCAAAGAATAGAATCTTAAATTTACCGCGTACAACCTTATCGGGTGCAGACGGGTAACATATGGCAGCGTAAATGCGCTATGGAGGCGAATGGCAGATCTGCAATCAGCCGCTGCTTTACGTATGCGCTGTATCATGCAGTGCTGTACTATAATGATTGACACAAAACAAGCGAAAAAGATCAAATCTGAGCCTACAGAGAAAAATCTTTAGGGCCAGCATCGGCTGTTATTGCCACTGTTAGACACTTGGAAGCATAGCAGACGTATCGGACAGAAGATGTTTGATGCCATTGCCCGGAAGGTGCTGCCGAGACTCCGCATTTTTTTGTCAAACATCTATTTACTTCCCATGCCCCCTTCTCTCGCACTACAGCCCAGGTTTGCCCGTGAATCCTCAAGGCAAACCTTCGACTCGCCTAGATAAATCCTATCTGCGTATTAGACGTACGTAGCTAATCAGGCTAGAAGACAAGTTTCAAGATACTTCACTAATTTCAATAATACCATTATTACAAGTACTAATATAGATTGAAACGATACCATAGTAGACGAGACAGTTCTGCATAGACGAAAGAGTTACAGCCCGTTGCAGAGCGAGCCACTTTTAACCAATTTCAAACACAACCAAGAGCAAGCTTGATGTAACAACTATCCAGCCTCGAATTGACCATCGTTAACCGTGTCCGCTCCTTTACTATATTTGTTCGTTCCGGTATCGTCTAAGTACTTGAAGATAAAAGTTAGCTGTTACAGGTGCGTGATACGGTGGCCGTGACTACACAACTGTCCCAATGCAATCCTTTTTACCAATTGTTTTTCTTGCAGTTTCCTTTCACTATTTCTAATTAAATAGGCTTCGACCAGACCGCCTTCTACAATAGTAATAGTATAATTGAACTTCAAGGTTACTGTCGAAAATTCTAAAGAAGATTATACTCAGGTAACACCTTAACTACGACGGAAACAGTTCATGCGGAAACACGGAATGCACCTGCTCGCATAGTATCTATACGACCGTGTTTTTCTTCAAGTCGACCTTGCTAATACTAGTAGATAACAGTAATACCTCTAATATGTAGTAGTAAAGTAATAGTCTGTCTTATGTCGCAGATTCTATTTCCTTACCTACTTACTACGTAGTTCAGGTCAAGGGGAGGTCAGCACACGACGAAAGCTGGTGTCGTATATGAGTTGGTGGAGGAAGAGTTGATCTTTTTAGAGATAGTAGTATGAAAGATCCTCTTCGAGATAGCGCTTGTTCGAGATTTTTCCAAGATCGAAGCTAATTCTAGTCATTCTGATACGTCGCACTGTTTGCAACCGCTCATATACAACAATATAATGCTGCCTGACTTTCCCTTTTTGAGTCGACCAAGGTCCGCGCGTCTCCCATTGCTCCAATATGTATTTAGAAAAAGTATTTTCTTCAGGATAGACCCATTCGAATGTCTAAAAACTGTCACGTACAACGGGACCGAACCGTCTCAGCTTATAAAACTATGTTATAATCACCACTAGCCAAACTTTAAAACCTCTGTGTGCACATGCTATTTTTATGGATAGTCGTCTAGACTATATAGAATGGTTGGTTGTCTTCTAAAATTTATAACATCTTCTGCTTGTGCCGGCTGCTGCGTAATCAAGGTTCTTAGACGACCCACCAAAGCAGGGCTCTGTATGAACAATGGGGACACGACAAGAGAACAGAGCCAAGGAAGCCCCAGTAGGGCATTCGGCCTCTCTGTATTGTGAAACTCTAAACGGCTCGAGTCTTTCTTGCGATTACTATTTACAGACCCTGTTGTCTCACATAGGAGTCACGTGCTGTTTTGCGTCGCTTTCGCCTTATCTGTGCATGACACTTCGAAATACTCCTTGCTGGCAAGTCAGAGCAGCGACACCGTTAGGTTTCGACTCGATAGACTTGCTTTCTATGGCCTGAGTGAGAGGCATATGGCCAATTGATAGTAACCAGCAGCGGACATCGGATGTGGTATACAGTGAAAATAAGACGGCCCTCCGTTTCCATCCGACTGTTTCAGACAATTTGTCAAACCCTATGCTACGAATAACCATCTAACGTAGACTACGAACGACAGTACGAGAACACGAAGCCACCGTGTGATGGCTTCGTTCGGCACATACGTATATAATCATTGCGTATCTATAATGTATATTGACTCCGCCGGAAATCAACTGCAACTGTATTCGAAGGTCGGAACTTAGCCGAAGTTGCTAGAAGCCGAAATCTATTTAGATGATTCTGTACATATGGCGATAGCAGTCATGAGAAGGTATCCCGTGTTAAATACTTTCTTAGAAAAGTATACGGGCTATCGGATATTTTGCGGGGCTTCTCGAAGAGATCCAGGCTTCGATAGTGGAAGTTGTACTGCATCTATAAATTTCAATTTGAATGATAACTATTTTAAGTGCCAGTTAGTTAAATGAACGATACTATCGTATGTGCACATATTTATCGTTGTTACAGTGTAATCATACATTAAAACTGACTGTTAAGTGCAGAACGTGTATGCATAACATCCGTAATTTGTCTGCCAGGGACAAAACTAGCATCGGCAATCTACCCTTATACGATTTTTATCTCAAAACAGTATCCTAAAATACTGAGTGGCCTTGCGCCTTAAACAATTCTCGGCCGATAGCCCATTCATGTTTCTTGACTTAGGTCTAGGCATTTTCAAGAAGTCGATGTAGACAGAATTTTGCTAAGAATACATATATCCCTAGCACGTTATATCTGTTAATTCGTAAGAAAAGATTTTCAATTTCGTTGCTGTTTTTTTCTCAAATAATATAAGAAATATTAACATGTAACAGCTCAACATGTTCGTTGAATGCCCTCAAGATAAAACGCTAAGAAAAAATTTTTATCATAAACGATTTGGCAGGCAAGATTTGAATGCGTGCATACCTAAAAGTGATTAATGATAAGCTCTTTACAATCCAGTGGATCAGACTGTGGGCAGAAGCAGACGCCGGAGTAGAACGTTTTTTAGCATTTATGATCTGAATTTTTTTAATTAAAAAAAATTAAACTAATCTGCATATTATGGGCTATAACAGTACGCAGATCTTTCTGATATATTAACGTGCAGTTTTGTGTAGAGGCACTCGGCTTACATTATGAACGAGTAAGGCTTTTACGCGCAGTTCAAACTATCTGGAATAGACGTTCTTCTAAGAATGTCTTTTTGAGATAATTGGTATTGAAGCATCCTTTGATTAGTTTCAATTATATGGGAATTGCAAATGATGAACGTGCATCATTTTTAATAATTCAATTTTTTTAATTTTCTTTTCTATCAAAATCAACTTTTTAATTTTGGAATTTTATAATTCGAATTCTTAATTCAGCATATATAGTAAAAATATCAGAATCTTTTATGGTTCTAGAACTTTTTATGGTTTCAAGCGATGATAAATGTTTAAGCGTAAATATTTATTACGAGTACATAAAAGAATGAACAGACAACCGAAATTAGAAGTGTTTAGTTGCAATCTGTCGCTTGTTGCACTATGCATTTCAGCTCTTTCTCTTTAACGCCCCGATCTGATTTGAGCAACGTCGTTGAGGAAGCACGTGCTCCTACTTAGAGGGCGACACTATCCATGGGAGAGGGCAAAGCGTCTTTTAGGAAGGGAAGGACAAGTGTCAGGCACCCCGGGAAGCCAGATCATGCTGCAGCAGTCGGACATGCCCCCGAGTCTATGCACGAGAAGACAAGTGGTTCGAGTGAATCACAAAAAGTGGACATAGGCGCCCGGTCGTCACATCTTGGGTCTATTCAACGTAGTCTTAAAGTGTCCGTACAGAATCGGTTAATTCCTCCTTAACTACGTGTCTGCAGGATGGGAGTGACACCCAGGCGATTGTCGGCGGCTCGATTGCCACCACAACCACCGACCGTACGGGTATTAATAAGTTCCTGTTAGTAGGTACAATACACAAAAGCAGAAAGTGCCGACATAAAAGTGGTGTTGAGTTCGTATTGATGCTTCAGTCTATCTATCCAGCGTGTAAATGGATCATACGATTGTGTATTAATACAATACCCCAACTTAAAGCACAATTAATTATATGTGTGAACCCCTATCATCTGTCATGGTTTGGTGTGACAGGTTGTCGTGTGTGTACGTGTGCATCTTTCAATCCGAATTGATAAGTGCAGTATAACTGAAGTGTGCTATTCATGACCTTGTTATACTATAATCAGACAGGAGAGAAACATACTATGCTACGTGTAATGATACTACTACTACTGCTGCTGCTGCTAAAGGAGTGTATTTAAATGGAAATATAGATAGAAAAAAAGTGCCAAAGACGAATTCGCAAAATTAGTCAATTTTTTCAGTTGACCTTGTAGTCGTCGTGACAAGTGAAACGGCCATAATGCAAGAAGTAAAGGCGATCTCGACGGATAAAGTGCGCGAACGTCTCTTTGAGATATCTGGACGGTAATCTTTTTTCTCTAACTCACGGTGGCTCTACCCGGTTAGACCAACGTCATTGTAAGGACCCCAGAGGATAACATCCGAAGGCTAAACAAGTTCGAATAAAAATGCTTGATCAGTTAAAAGTCTTGTTCGTGTTAACAGGTGCTAGTACCTATCTCGGTAAGTGATCTCGTTGTTACCTACCTAGAACACCATTGTGATCTACGAGACGACACCGTATGTAGTTAGCAGCTAGACATTTTTAAAATGATATCTACACGGGTATAACCGAATCTCTGTCGGTAATAATTGTCCAGAAGAAATAAATACAGGGAAAACGTACAATGAAACGTACGCATTTTAGGTGCGTACTATTCCTAGTTAAGGTTGAAGGATAACTTCATTGTATATTGGAGCTTGTGTGCTTTCTATGTGTACGCGCTAAAAACAATTCAGATCGTATTATTTGAAAAGGCCATTAGCAAGGGTTGTTTAGCAGTCCTTATTTTTTCCGGTACTCATATTTTGTTGCTCATGCGCCATTTTATGATCCTTTTTAGCTGCCCAATAAGCAATCATCCTTTGAAAAGCCTTCGAAAAGAGTAAACATCTATAAATCTATCCATGATAGGGCTTTTTAGGTTATATTCACTGGAGTGAGCAGATATCTATCTGTCTCTGTGTTACATTGAATTAGGCTTATTTGGATCGTGCTCTGTAGGCAGGCTTTAAGGAAATAAGGAAATTTATGGCTTATGCTTACGACAATAAGATACTGGCGGAAATCGACAATTTGCCCCCAAGTAGGGAATGCTGATAAATAATTACATTCAGTAGATAAATTCGACACTAAAGTTCCCCGCTAAATATCAGAGATGATTCGCTTGACAATAGAACTTCATTTGACACAACGACTATTGTACACCATGCCTATTATACTGATATCCTGTTTCCTTTAAGGAAGCGTAGATTTTGCGTTGAATCAGACTCTGAGTTCCGTTAGCCTTCATAGCTTACTAAGCGATCAGCTATCAATAAATAGATAATGCACATTAATCTATTCAATAGCCAGAAATAGTACCAAATACACTGTTCTTCGTATTAATATATATTTCTTGATTATTGGAAGCAAATTACATAGTTTACATTACAACAATTACGAAATACACACCTAGTCGACGTTCGAGCTCCGCACCATTCGATCTCACTGTCTCCCACGTACAATACATTGAGGGGCTTTTCTTAAAATTCTTCCAGCAAAACTATCTTCAACTAAGCGATAGCTTTCTTATCTCATGCTTCCACAGCGTGTTTGTCTCTCACATCGGTCGGCCTCCTATTCTAAAGATTCGTTCCGCAGATATCATCAATCTTTTTAGGTGACCTTGCCCGTAGCAAGGTACCCAATCGCTTCTGATAATCTTATGGCTAACGATTTAAAGACATCTAGGAGAAAGATATAGCCAGAGCAAAAGCGGTGTGTTTGTTATTTATCAATTATAGTACTTTATCGATCAAGCTAGTATTTGAAAGATCGTTTAGAGAAAGACCATAGGAAAATCATTTTGCAATTGATTGAAAAACGTGACTTAATAGACAAGGGGTCAATGATATAGAAAATGCACAAACTGAAGTATTTAGAGGATCTATTATCTGTGTGAAATATTCTCGTTGTAAAACACTTATCACCGCCAGTGATGACACAGATCATTAAATATAAATGGCTGAAGGTGTGAAAATATGGCAAAGGTACACGGGAATATAAATGTAGAGGAATTATTGAGAAAATGCCACAGCTTGACGATATGTCACAATGCGTACAACAGATTTTATTTACGGTACCAGTATGAAGTATACTGGTTACGATTGCGGAGTGGATGCAAAACGGTTGCCCCATTTTTATGCGCTCCTTAGCTAAGCTAAACAGAAGTAAAATCAGCGATTCACGTCCGCTCTGACGGAGAATCATATGGCCATAGCTACAATATGTGAAATATTTTATGTATATTATCGACATGGTTCGCTGATTTCATTTATCATTTAAACTAGAAATAGCTACAGCAGTTCTTGTTCTTTAGCAAAGAGTTATATTTGTGGATCTAGATTTTCGATATTGTGCGCGTCTCCCGTGCGTATGGCTACAAAAACCCTTTCTAAGTAAACGTACATTGTCATGGGTGGTGATATATTGAGTATATTGGACTTCGAAAGTATACTGCTTCTGAAAAAGTGTGTATTTTTAAAGCACTCAGTAGTACTCTTGTCATTTTTACGCATCGTCAATCTGCAACAAATAGTTTGGAGCTCCATTTTGATCTCATGAGCAGACGACATCATAGCTTGCTTTGCGTAAACATTATAACAATCGTATAAACATTTCGTCTCTTCTTATTACATACTACACTTTTCACTACACTAACATTCTGCTAGCTTGAGTACATGAATATTGTTTACCTATGTATTTAATGCTTAGAAACTTAATACGGCAAATAGAGCAACACGGTACCCAGGTACTCTACGTAATCTCGTAGGGCTCTAACGAAAAACCGATCTCGTTCGTGATGACAAATAACTAAAAAGCATTCATATATCATTCGATATACCCACACATGTTTCGGAAGCTTTTAAGTGGCGTACAGCCACTCCACATTACGCGACGGGACGATTTCCATAAGAGTTTTGATACGAGAATATCTCCTAATAAGAAGACATTAGAATTCTTTAGTGGGAGCTTGTGTAGTCGCGTCGCTGAAAGCACATGATCCTTTCTTCCCATGTGAATAAATCGCGTATACATATACTAATTATAAGTAATCTAGGAAGTGTGTGGTAAAATATTTGATAAATATGCGTCCATTTAATTTATGTCTCTGCTATGTTTTCTTCTGCTAGAAATTTCATTGAGTCCTGTAGGAGGTGAAACCCCATAACGAAGCTAATATTGAGGTACACTCATCACATCGCATAAGCTAGCATTTAAATTTCAATCATTTACTAGTTTTACGAAACATAGCGTGGTCTAGATGTAACGTAATAGCAATCAACGTACATCGATTATTTATACCTGATCAATACTGGAGCTTTCGTCGTACATATCAATCATGGAGCATTAGGGGTAGCTGAAGTCGTTGAGACATATAGCATAGCTGTTGAATCATTACATATAATTATACAGTCCTCTATTGCTGAGCATTATCGCATCGAATAGTAGACTCGCACATATACTGATATGGCCCCAGGTTGTGATTTACCTAGCATTATCGAGATCCAACAATCTTCTCAGCAACGTAAACCAATTCATTCGCTTGGACAACTGCAAATACCACTGTATAAACACAGATCCTGTAAATGGAGCTGCCGTTATAATTGATTGATTGATTGATGATATCGCTGTTCTTGTCTATTGCGATACGGTATTAACAGCACTAAGATCAGCTGCCGTAAGGACCATTAGCAGTTGTCTTATGTCAGACGTGACCAGGCCGAACATATAAACTCAGCTAGCTGAATCACAACAGCGTGTCAGGCGGCGAAAAACGTTACGTACGGGATCTGATTGATGAAAGTCGTAGATTTAGACGTGTGCCGCATACCTTATACACGTGTACTATAGCAAACGGTGCAGTACTTTATACCGTGCGGGTCTTCGTCTACAATTGGACGTAGACAGCGCTCTTGCTAAATTATAGAGTCAAAAACTTTTGTGTCCTGCGGCATTGTTTCGCATCACTGAGCTGGCCGTCATACTTCTGCTGTTGGTGCCCTCGTCGTCGGTGTTTCAGGCCAGAAATCGGCTCCCAACATCTATGGGTAGCAAAAAAGGCACTCAGAGAAATTCCTCAGGACAGCGGAAGCGTGTCAAGGAGAAAAAATTAAAAGGGGTTTGTAATAATCATGATCCATCTGGTGGCGTTCTACCTCTCTGAATAAGAAAGACCTTTGCTAAATTTGAACAACGCTTCCGTCATGAGCCTTTACAAAACCCCGCGCATCGATTAGGCCAAACACTAGGCCTAATGACACTGATGATGGCCTAACACTAAATGACATGTCCATCAAGGCAACCCAACTGCAATCCTGAACGGACATGCAAAGTCTGCACGTCAAAAACAGCTGGAGTAACTTGACGTATTCTGGCTATTCTTTGTATATTTGAATATAATACGCTGTTCCTACAGATCTACCGGTTTTGGTTGCCAGAAGCAGTATAACAACGATTTCGACCAACTATTACTAATTACTGGTCCGATATATAGGGCATTTTCTGACACTATATTTTTTTGTTAAAGTAAATATTACCCGTGGAAATCCTGGCGCCGTCGATCTGGCACTGAATTTGTTGGTACGGACACAGCTATGGTAATTTCTCTAAGCATCTTTGTATTCGAATTGTCTCAAGGTGCTCGTGATGATGCCTCGTTAATGGCGACTTTTCGCTAGCAAAAGTGCCGCTTGATAAGACAGTTCCAAGCTTATAATAAGATAGTTTATTAATAACATGGCCAGAATAAATATTTATATATTTCGTAATTGCGAATAATATCTCTGATTATACTGATAGCGTACACAGTAATTTCGACTAGTATCTATAAATTAATTTGATATCTTGTAACACGTACAGGATCTGATGTAGTTCTGAAGACGAGAAAGAAATTTGTGGATTTCGTTAATTCGAACAATGACGCTATTTCACACAGTTTTCATTTCTACTTGCAGTTTCAGACACTTTAAAATTGTTCGTATCGGTCTTCGTAATGTGCTATAAAAAGCATCCTCGTGTTCTATTGAGTCTAATGAAGTGTTTTCGGTCCGTGCTGCATGACTTCATTGGGTACGGGTTTGACGCTTTGTTAAAGCGTTTTTACTTCAGGGAACGTAAACACGTTAAAGATGAGAACGTTTAAGTGGAATTCTAATAAGGGTGTCTCTTTTAAGAAGTAACTAGTATATAGAGAAGTTCTCGCAAATAACTTGCTAGCTTCTTGATCTGGGGCAAATGACCCGTTCCTCTTTATAAACATTTGCATAGCGACGTATTTTTGTACAGGTACCGATCCGTTTTGATATACCTTGCATACAGTACGGCATCAGTCGATTTCTGTGGATAGTAGATGTCTCAGTTATCTTAAAGGCTATTTCGTACGCGCCAACAAACTATTGCGCGTCTGCGTATTTTCCAA